AAGCTTAAGTTAGCTCCTTCAGAACAGCATTCAGTTGAGCTTCCGGTTTGTGGATCAGCGATGGCGGTCGCTCTCCCCGGACCTCGGGGGAGTGACTTGCACACCAGCGGTATGGGGGGGTGCTACCTCAAGTAGCACTCACACGGAGCCTTTGCAAAAGGCTCCAGGCCATAGGGACTTTGAGGGGCAGCCTCTTCGATGGCTAAATGCCGAAGAATTGAGGCTTCCCTCCACCCTGACGGTCCTGCCGCTGTGTGGCCTTGAGGCACAAGCTGTTTCAACCTGGACAAGCGCTGGAGATCGAGCGGAATATAGTTTACTGTGAGCGAGGTCAGAGAAATTACTGACAATGAACGTGAGTTCAAAATAAACGGAACATTTTAAAAGTTAACTACCCCCCCCATGGGAAAAGCGGAGCACAAAGAGGGACGCTTCTTATGCAAACGGATAGATAAGCGTAACGAAGGGGGCAGGGGGGAAAATAAGCAGCGATTTTGTGTGGAGAGACTTACTTGAGTGTTGACAGCGAAGTGACGATTTTTCGAGTCCGTGTGAAGCGGTTTGGAATTGTAAACAATCGTATAAAATGGCGGCCTCGCAAATAAAGTTTAAAGCGAAACCGGTGGGTAATCAAAGCCCAAAACCGGAAGAGGGAGCAGACGTCATGAAAATGTTAGTGGATATGCTCAAGCCGGTGATGGAGCAACTCAATGGTATTAACCAGCAACTGACCTCGCTGAATCAAAGCTTCGCATCCCAGCAGCTACAACTGGCAGAAACGGCGAAGAAGGTGGAACAAACGACAGTGAGAATTAAAGAGATAGACACCACAAACAAGAAAATGAAGAAAAGAATGGGGAAAGTTGAAGCAAAACAAAACTTCCAAGAAAACTGTTTGCTACAGCTACAAATGGAAAAAGCTAACATGATCCTCAGATTCCAGGGAGTTCCTGAATCGCAAATGGAGGATCTGAGGAAACTGCTCAGCGAGATCATAGCTCCAGTAATAGGCTTAACAGTGGATTAACTGGTAAAAGAGATGGAGACTGCTTATAGGGCATACTCCAATTATATTTTAAAAAATAGCCTCCCTGGAGAAATTGTGGTCAGATTCTCAAGAAGACAGACCAGAGATGCTATTTTAAAAGCGACTTCAGCAACTCCACTGAAAATGGGGAATATAAGCATTAAAACTTTAAGACATTCCCTTTGAAATTCGCCTAAAGAGGAAAAGCTATAAGGACTTAATTTCTTTTCTTCAAACCAATGGAATTTCGTACAGGTGGGCAATCCCAGAGGGTGTCATCTTTAAAATCAACGACAAAAGAGAAAAGATTGACTCCACTTTCAAAGCCAAAGAATTTCTGAGACGCCAGTTGGGAATGGGAATCCAAAGATGAAGAATCGAAATCAAGTGACTCTGCTACCTCTGGAACGGAAGAGGACTCTGCTGTAGAAACGGGTGCAGGCGCAGTGAAAGTTACATATGATTTCATGGACTGAAAACCAAAGTAAAGGCAGAAGGACTCTGAAAATTGCCTTTTGAAGCAACTAACATGAAGATGCTCAGAAAGTTCTCTCACACAACTAACATACTAACATTGAAGCCGAGACAAACAAGAACTCTACAAGTATACTGTTATATTAACACTTTTATTAATAACATTTAGATTAACATGGATATGATCTCCTCCTCTTGGGTTTTTAGTGTAGTGTGGTTATCTATCCTTTATCCTTAGATGTTAGCCCCCTCCCTTATATTTTCTTTGTAGTTTTGTAGTCTTATAAAAAAATAATAAAAATATCCCTCCGAGGATGCCCCCCCCCCAAAGAACAGCATTCAGTCTTCCCCGTGCTTTGTACTCCATTAAAAATAGAACAGAGACGCTCATCTCATGCAAATCTTGACATGCTAAATGACTTGATGAGAAAGTTTGCCAATTCCTTGTACACTGGAGGAACAAGCAAGGAAAGAAACCGTGCAAAAGCAATATGCTGTTTGGAACTGTGCCCACTGAAACTTGGGTACAACTCTTCATGGCTTCTGTGTGCTTCTGCGTGGAAGTGCGCGCGCATTTTAAATGCATTTTAACTTACATCAGACAATTGAGCTGAAGTTAAGGAACTGTTAGCAATATGTATATTAAAAGTGTGGATGGCTTGGCAAGAAATTTCTGGTGCTGAAGCCGCTCATAAAATCTGAGACAGCTATAGCCCACTTGGCAACACATTTCCAGAGGGGATGGTGGAAAAAATGGCCTCATTCCTCACCACAAACTGATTCCTTTTGGTATGACATGAGCTTCTATGCTTTACTGGCAGCTCAGTAGGGGAGGCAGCCCTAGCAACCCCCTCTGGATTAAAGGAAGGCAAATGAGCCCTTCCAGGAGATTTACTGTTTGCAATGAGTTTACCATTCCAGCATATGAGATACAATGGAGATGCCGGGCAAGGACAGTAGCACAACGGTTATATTAGCACCCATTACAGCCATGAGCTAAGTTTTCAATCTCTGCAGAACTTTTTCTCAGGTCCTAAATAGCTGTAATTATTTGAATTTGTCTCTAATATTACTCTGAATTCACTGGTTCCCTGTAAGCAGTGTTCCCTCTAAACTGAGTGTGAACTCTAGCTCACAGTTTTTTAGCCTCCGGCTCACACATTTTGGTCTTAGCTCAGGAAGGATGACTCCAGAGCAAACTAATTTATGTAGTAACGAAATCACTCGCTCACAACTTTAATCCCAGTAGCTCACAAAGTAGAATTTTTGCTCACAAGACTCCACAGCTTAGAGGGAGCATTGCCTGTAAGGCAGATAAAATGTTGCAGTTGTAATACTTCCATGTTTATATTATGTGGCATTATAATCTTCACACATCTGAAGTGCTTCTTGTGGTATAAGTAGACTACCACTATTTGAAAAAGTAGATGCAAACGCACAACTCAGACTCGACCACAACATTTATTTATTTGATGAATTTTTATTCCATCCTCTCTTCAGGGAGCTGAGGGCAGTCTACATGTTTCTCCCTTCTCCAATTTTTGCTCCAGAGCAACCCAGTGAGGTACACTGGGATGAGAAACAGTGACTGACCCAAGGTCACCAGCAAGCAGAGATTTGAACCTGGGTATCTCCACTCCAACATTCTAATCACTATACTACTAGTGTTAAAAAGCAAAGGCATAAAACCTTTAGTGGGGACATCAACTTGAGAGTGGGTGACAATCCTCTTTAGTCATCATTACTATTAGAACTGATGAGTGCATTCTTCATGAATCCGTTTAAAACCAACTATGCTATAATGGCTGACTGTTCCTTGGAAGGCCAGATACTGAAGTTGAAGCTCAAATACTTTGGCCACCAAATGAGAAGGGATCACTCACTGGATAAGATCCTGATGCTGGGAAAGATTGAAGGTAAAAGAAGAAGGGGACGGCAAAGGATGAGATGGTTAGATGTGTTATTAATGCAACAAACATGAAATTGAGCAAACTCCGGAAGACAGCAGAAGACAGGAGGGACTGGCGTGATGTGGTCCACAGGGTTGCGAAGAGTCGAACTTGACTGTGCAACTGAACAACAACAATAAGGGTTTCCAGCCATTGGCTAGCAACTAGCAGGAGACTGGGTGTCATAGGAGGTGCTGTTGCATCAATGGCATGATGTCAGTTCTGGGGTGAACCTGGAAGTGATGTCATGCCATTGATACAGTGCTCTAGCATTCACTGGAAATTCTAGAGAATCATGTAGATGGTGTGATGTGTGACTTCCATGTTCACCCCAGAAATGACATTGTGCCTTCAAAGCAATGGTAATTTGAGGGCTGCTGCCAGTATATCTCCTGCTATAGCAATATTGGGAGACCTGGCAGTCCTACAATCACTGCAGCCACCGGCAGTGAATTCCAAAGTTTATTAGTTCAGTGAAGAAGTACCTTCTTTGTCCATCTTGAATTTATTGTCCATCATGAAGAAAAAGTTTCCTCTATTTACTTTCTCTACTCTGCACCTAATTTTGTAAGTCTCTGTTGAGCGTGTGTCCCCCTCCCCCCACTCCCCAGTTAACTTTGTATAAATTCCCCACATGGAAGTTACTCCAGCCCCTAAATTGTCTTGGTTGACCTCTCCGGCACTTTCCTCAGCTCTGCAATGTGTTTTTTGAGGTACAGCATAACAGTGTAGAGTATACTAAATGTGACCACACGCTAGATCTCTAAAGGGCATTACAACATTGCCTATTTATTTTCAAAGCCTTTCCTAATAATCCATAGCCTGGAGCTGGCCTCTTTCACCACTGCCACAAAAACCAACATTTTCATGCCTGAAACATGTCATCTGTAAATGCTGCTAATATGCGAGAAAAATGGAGAAAGTCGCTGTATATAATTCGAACCTATATGTATACTTTTGTTGAAAGGTTTAAAACACCATTTCAAAAGTCACTTGAGCAAATGGCTCGATCATACTAGCCCTGATGTGTTCTTAAGAAGCAAAATTAGCTGAAATGATATCTTTATTAGGACTAACCAATGCGGTGTAGAGCTTTCCAGTTAACATACAACCCTTTCTCAGGCTGAATACTTTAAAAAAAATTAAGGGGGGGGGAGAGAAACTTGTCTAGTAGAACAGCATAACGTTAAAACTCTTGCTTAAGCATTTCTTGATAATGGGACGTGGTTTTTGCAGACTGCAGCACAGTCCAATTAGTGGGGGGGGGGGGGGGGGGGGGGATGTGTGGATAAAATCGGCTCAGATGTGAGTGAGAGGAGGCAAAGGCCAAGAGGGCAGTTTCCAGATTCTTGGAAACGTTGCATTCCCATGAAAGAGGAGTAGGTGGGGCGGGAATTGGGGCCGGGCCAACATCGGGGGGCTTCTCAGCGACTAGAGCCCAGCTTGAATTTGCCCCCTCGGGTCCGGCGCCTTTTGTCTGCAGTTGCATGAGGGAGGGAGGGGCCAAGTTGGAAGAAAGTTTGGGTTCCCTGAACTACCTTTTGTTGTCAGCTGGGCGTGACGTCAGAGGCCGCCGCTACCGCCGCGCAGTGCAAGGTTGTGTCCACATGTGACCAGCTTAAACTAGTTCTGAAGACACAAAGAGAAAGGCGAGGGAGATAAGGAGGCAGATAGCGGGGCAGGCAGTGGAGCAGAGCCAGCGGCAGAAGGAGCAGCCTTCGCCAGGACGCACACCGAGGCGGCGGTCAGCATCGATCCAGGCAAGTCGCTGGGCGCGAAACTTCGCGGGCGGCAAGCGGTGCCCGGCTTCGGGCCACTGCACCCTGCCGGGTCGTGCCAGGCAATGGGGAGGGGGCGACCCGGAGCCCTTTCCTCGCGCACCTTTGTCCTCCTGGGCGAAAAGGAGCCCCCGCCCCCAAGGAGTCGGAAGCCGCGGCGGTGCGCTTTTTAAGGGATGTCCTTCGTCTGCCCAGAGGCCCGGTCAAGCTGCTCTCTTGGCGGGTATCAGGAGGAGAACATCCTTCCCGGGACTGCGGCTGCACCGGCGCTGAACCATCTCGGGACCGGAGGCGGAGATTGGGGGGGGGGTGATGGAGGGGGACTCTGGAGAAGCGTGGCGACGGCGGGGGGCTACTGGGAAGTATCGTGGCCCCTCGACTCCGAGGAAGCGGCTCCTTTCTCTCGGTGTTCTCCCCTCTCCTCGAGAGTCCTTCCACTTCTCAAGGAAAGCGATAGAGAAGACGCTCCGTTTGTGGCACAAGTGCCCTGGCCGGAGGGGGGGGGGGGACTGCACCTTATTTGAGACACCGATCTCTTCCTTCCGAGTTTTCCTGGTCATGTAGATAGGCAGCTGACGGAGTTACTGTCTTCTACAGGCCCCGCTATGTAGCTTTTAAAGAGAAGGGAAGGATTGGATTAATACCTTATCCTTTGCGAGGGCTTGCGCCTACCTTTGTACCTGCTAAAGTGTTCTAGGAAAATGAATCTTTGCAGGGAGATTTTGGAATCTGTCCCAAACTACAGGAGCCACCCCTGTCTGGTAGCCAGGCTTTGCAACTGGGCGTCCCAGCACAGTCCAGGTAACTGGTGTGTGCCTGCTTAATCCGTTCTTTATTAGGTTAGGAGCTTCACTCTAACCTTTATTAGGTTAGTCCTAATAAAGATATTCCGTTCTGTCTGCAAAGCTGGCACAGCCCTAAGTAGTGAGAAGTGGGTAGAACTGGAAATCCATCCTATGCACTGTTGCTTCAGATACAGTGCTGAGTCTCCTCAATGTCCCCACCTGTAAACAGCAAGGGTGCGTTTCTCTTTTCTCCTGAGCTCAGGCTTGCTTGCTGGATCGTCTGGCACCACATCTGTGTCCTTGCAAGCACCAACAAATGCACACCCATACTGTTTGTGTCTCACATCCACTGACACAGAACTGCACATATTGAACATGCTGAGAGGCAAATCTTCCATTTAACTACTCTGTGTACAAAATGTTACAAAGAACATTCACAATTAGTTCCTCTTAAGTGAGAGAGAGACAGCATGCGTTGGGTTTGTTTTTTTTAAAACCAAACTTTCTTCTGATTTGTCCTGCACCTCTGGTACACATAGCTGGATGATTTCTGCTTTTGTCACACTCTAATCAGGGGTTATTTGGACTAATTCTGTTAGTGATATTTAGGAAAGAAGGAGGTGGTGTTCCTTTTCAGTGCTGGCACCTACAACATGTGACCTTCGCATCATTTTCAGCCTTTGGGAACAGAGGAGTAGGGTCTGCATTAATCCAGACCCAAGGCATGTTTTATACATAGGGAGGAAACTGTTAATGATGGGTGGCTGTTTTCTCCCACTGTGGCTGAGATGGTGCTCTGAGGATTGTTCCGTTCAGTTCTCCGGGTTGCTTGGAGCATGCTGAGCTTAGCTGGAGAACAGAGGGACACTTACTCAGTGTTGGTGCTGTTCAGAGCCAGGCATTTGGAATTGGAGAGTGCACATAATGCAAAATGAGGAGCTTCACTCTAAGCTGAGCACCTCTATTCAAAAGCCCTTGTGCTCTTGGACCTGTTCCAGCCTGAAGAAGAATGAGAGAAGGGAGCTATTTCTCCCCGTGACTGGTTCCAGGAAGGAAGTGTCCCCGTGAAACTAGGACAGCTCGTCTTGCTATACATGTAAACAAAAAATATTGTGCATTCTTATGAGAGGGGAAGCTGTTGGTGGTATAACCCCCTTTAAACTAATTTTTCAGTTAAGCATTCCGGCTCCTTCTTAACAAGGGCCTTTCCCAGAGCTCAGCCTGTTTTCTCTACCCAGTCTTGACCCCAGTTTGTTCAGGCCTGTTTTTTTTATGGAGCCCTGTGTGATACATTATAAACCAAGATGCAAAACTGAATCGTGTTAAGAGAACACATTGTACTGTCACTCCTGCTCTGTGATGGTCTCCACACCCAAAGTCTGAAAGTTTTTGGCAACAAGTAGGTATTGAGGTAATTCCTCTTCCCTTCTTCCTTCAATTAGGGGTCTTGGGCTATGGCCAGTGCCTGCAGAATTGTGCATTTTTTAAAAATCCTGCTGGATTCTGAATCTTGGAAACCACAGATTCTTCAACTGGATTGGACTGCGCACTTTAGGCAATTTGGCTTAGATGTATTTACTTACTTCATTTATACTCTGCCTTTTTTCTTGGTGGGGACCCAAAGCCGCTTCCATCATTCTCCTCTCATGCATTTTATTTTTGAATGTTGTATGCATTATTCTTTGTATAAAGCATTTTCCTGGTTCCCTTTCTTTCTCCCTCCCCCTCCGGATTTTTGAAACTTTTCATTACAAACCGGAGTGCAGGTGATTGCAGTGTAGGAGGCAAAATAGTGCAGGAGGGTATGAGGTAGACCCATTAGGTTCTATCTTTAGCAAACACGTTTAAATCTGCAACCCTGAAGTGTGCTCATTTCAAAGCCAAGAGTCTTGGCATTCTGAGGGATTTGCAGCTTAATTTGTAAGCCATGACAATACTGAGACCTATGGTTGTGTCTCCTTTACACCTTCCTGGATTTGAGTTTTTATGTGGTAAAATTATCATTCTTTCCCTGCTCTTCCCCCAAGGTATGATTCTGGAAGAGGCAAGGCTTTCTTCTACAAAGCAACACAGGGAGCCTTGGGGGAGGATATCTTGTACTGAAGCAGCTGTCCTTGGTAATGGCATCCTTTACTAACAAGTCCTCCATCACAAAAGTATTTTTCTCCCATGATGCCAGGGCAGTGTTTCCATGGCTTCACTGGCCAAAGGAAGTGTCAGCATTTAGATCTGCTTGTCCATCTCTAGCTGTACCCTCCAACCATTTCTGAGGGTAGTCATAAATAACCTATGAATAACCTGTTCCACTTGACTACACGAAACAAAATCCTCCTTCTCTACCCCCAGCTTTTCACGAGTTACCATTTAACATGATCCTCCTCTTGTATTGGCTCTGCTGGTTGAAATGTCAGCTTAGCAAGAATTCATCTCTTATTTTTGCTCTCTGTCTGGAATTGTGCCTGCAGACAGAGGAGCAATCATTGTAGTAGTTGTTGTTATGTCAGGCATGCTGGGTCAGTGCCCCTGGCAAGCCACTTAGGGACTGTGCCAGGCCTTCCACTAATTGCTGCTTGTCTGCATAGCAGACCAGGTGCTCTCAGGATGGATACAGGCAACACAGCCCATGAGAGTGACGAAGAGGACAGTCCTGAGTAAGTGTGCTCAAAATTCTTCTCTGGTTTATTCAATAGAGCTCACTCCCAGGAAAGTATCACTAGAACTGCAGTGTAAGGCTGCAGTCCTAAGAACAATTTCTGGAGAGTATGCCCCATAGAATAAAATGGGATTTGCTTCTGAGTAGACCTGCTTAGGATTGCTCTGTACAAATGCAATCCTAGGCAGTGTTACACCCCTCTGCATCCACTGATGCACTTACTAAGATCTGGCCATGGAAGCTTACTGGGCGACCTTGGGCCTGTCCTGCATTCTCAGCCTATCCTGCCTGAATTGTTGCGAAGAAGACAGGGTAAGCCCCTTTGGATCCCCATTGCCAAAAAGGCAAGGTATAAATGAAATAAATGAATGAATAGACTGTCAGTTCTGGAAAACAGTTGGCCATATTTGGTACTCCTTCCTTGAGGTACTTCTTCCTTTTTTAGTTCAATGCTAAGTCATCCATGATGGAAGGTGCCATGAAGATGCAACCTTGTGCCCATTTGAATCTGTGTGAAGTATAACCAGACCACTGTGTACCCTGGAAACAACAGCTGTGGGTGAGAGCGAATGATCTAGAGAGCAGTATAAAGAGCTTGGGAGGAGGGAGGAGGGACAGGGGAGGGGGTGGAAGAACAGTGCACAGTGTTGGCTCCAGAAATTTGAGGAGACTGCTGGTTGCAAGGAGAAAGTGAGGAGAGGTGGCCAATTTATCAAGTACTTTACAGGGAGGGAGGCAGGGCCAACAATGGGAGGCAATAAGAGCCAAAAGAAGGAAAGCAGGTAGAAAGGAGTTGGGGAGAGCAGACAGTCTCTCTCCATGTAAAGGAGACTGCAAGCAGAGGCTCCAGCATATAAGTGGGGATAAGAGAACCTACACAATTCGTATTTCCCATATTTAAGGGATGTGCCTTAGATGCAGTGTGTACCCCTTATTCAAGGATATTGTCAACTCACATTGCTCATTTTGGACACCAGGGCTTCCAGAGTATTCTCTGCTTCTAAAACATCCTTGAGTTCAGGCAACAAGGTGAATTCTGCATAGAGAGGAAAATGAGTGGCAGGTCTTTCTTGAATTCCCATAATTTTCTGCTCACTGACAGTGTTCTGTACTTGTCAGTTCAGATCCACTTTAACTCCTAGCATCAGCATGATACATTTGATGGTTTTCTGTTCAATATCCTATGGCCATTAGTGTGCAGTGGAGGGCCCTTTTTAATTATTCCCACCTTCCTCACATTGTTATGTGACAGCTGATGCCATGAGAGAATTGTCTAGGAAGGCTTGAGAAAGAATCTGTTTAGATCATGTCTTGCTTGTGGTGGCTTTGCCAACACTTTCTAGTCTCGTATTCCATGCTATAACTACCCCCCTAACATCTGTGTAGCAACAGAATTAGGGGTCACTTTACATTTTACATTGTGAGCTGATATCAGAACAGGAAGGTGCCTGGATTGCTATTCCAAAGAAATGGAGAAGGCCAGCCTGAGAAATTTTGGTTATCAGCACCAATAGCCTGTAATAGATGACAGCTTCCAGGATAAT